ACACATTTAAAATTAATTTAATTCTGAATGAGTATTTATAAGTTCTGATAAATAATTATTGTTATAACACAGAGTACTGGTAAATAAACTAAAAACTAAACACTCTGGAATTCATTTGCAAGGGAACATGTTCCAGAGCTCATGGAACTTATTTGTTGAAAAGGTAGGAAATAGCAGTAGAAATACAAACTTCCAAGCTTTGGGAAATTACTTTTTTGAGTAATGTTGATAAAATAATAAAGCTGCAATTCAGAGTTACAAGCAGAGTATGAATTAAAGGCACAGACTGAAAAACAGCACAGTGAAATTTCCTGGGTTTGTAAGAGAAGCTGAGTTGCGGCTAGAACCAGTTTCCAGCCTCTGTTGCTCCCATGCCAAGGCACATGACTATTAGTAATAAATTAAAGGCAAACACTGGAAAATTTGAACAAGAAAGCATATCTATACCTATACATGGTTTCAATGGCAGATACAGACACTGGTGGTCTCATGACCATATACTTATTCATAGTGAAGTGAAAGTCACTCAGTCATGTCCTACTCTTTGTGACCCCATAGACTATATAGTCCATGGATTTCTCCAGGCCAGAATACTAGAGTGGGTAGCCATTACCTTCTCCAGGGTATCTTCCCAACCCAGGGATCAAACCCAGGTCTCCCGCATTGCAGGCGTATTCTCAACCAGTTAAACCACAAGAGAAGCCCAAGATTACTGGAGTGGGTAGCCTATCCCTTCTCCAGGGGATCTTCCTGACCTAAAAAGCGAGCCAGGGTATCCTGAATTGAAGGCAGATTCTTTCCCAACTGAGCTATCAGGGAAGTCCTACTTATTCATAAGATAAGGTTTAAGATCCTCTGAGCCTATTTATTCCAAGTCTTACAAAATAGACTAAGAGTCCCATAACAATAGCAATACATAAAGTTCATGGCTTTGAACTCTTAAGTTCATGAGCAATCATGTTCATCATGTATGTGTGCATGCTTAGTCACTCTGTCCAGTCCAACTCTATGTGACCCTATGGACTGTAGCCCACCAGGCTCCTCTGTTCATGAGCTTCTCCAGGTAAGAACGCTGGAGTGGGTTGCCATTTCCTTCTCCAGGGGATCTCTTTGAACCAGGGAGAACTGGTGGTTCCTACATTGCAAATAGATCCTTTACCATCTGAGCCACCAGGGAAGCCCATGTTCATTATATGTATATATACACACACACACACATATATACATACACATACACAATGCACATATATGCATACAGACATATGTGTATATATGTGTGTGTGTTTGTGTGTGTATACATATACACATACAGTCAAGACTGTCAATAATCAAGCACATTGACTTTCAATTCCTGGTGAATGGGTATGCTGCACTTAGCTACTAAATGGGTTGCAGAAACCTCTCACATGCGGGTGTCATGAAAATAAAGACATCACCAGGGCAGGAGAGTCAGATGTGCACATCTTTCCCCATTCACTCCTGTTCTCAAACTTAGAGGGCTCAACTACAAATAAACTGTCTGTCTGTTAAATTTTCACCTGGAAAGGAGAGGAATTATCATGAACACATTAGCAATAACACTGTGCAATGAACACACGGAGAAATTACCCATTTGTGATCTAACACATCAGCGTGATGTTTAACCAGTGTAAAACATGAGGGAAACAAACATTTCCCCAGGGAACAGACACATCAAAAAAGGGATTTCCCATTTTACAGTTTCTCAGTTCACAGTTGTGAAAATCCATTTCTGATCAATAACTATGGTTGGGAAACACCACAGCCTGTAATTCAGGTGCTGGGGTTCTGAGAGAAGTTAGTAGCACTGACTTTATAACCCTGTCACAGGACAAGTAGGGGCTGGACTCCAGTTCAGGGCAGTGAGGACGAGCCTGTGGCTTGAGGGCCCATTGCCTGATCTGGAATCCTTCTCCTGAAGTTTATTCACAAGTTACATAGCTCCTAAACTTCAATTTATTTCCAGGTAAAATGTAGATAGTACAAATGCTGAGGAACAGGATTATTGGAAGGATTAAATGAGATGATGTGTGTAATGAACACGGCAACTGAATAAGCATTGGATATCATCTAAATAAAAATGCTTTGCATGTTGTTTCCAAGTGAGATATTTTAAGCTAAATAATGTGCTTATTTCTTATCCATGCCAGCTTTACTTAAACTACCTGATATAAAGAATACCTTCACACAGTTTATGAAAGAGTTTTCTCTATAGATCCTTTTAGTTAGCTTATATTTAAAATAATAGAATTAAGATCATGAATTCATCAAATATTTTTATGCAAGCAGAATTATGTTCACAGTTCAATTTCGAAATTAAAGAGAACACAAAAAAGATTGATGGAGAATAAACGTCTGACATCTTTTATAACTATTCTTTATTGAAAATTGTATCATTCAATCCATAAAGGGGCTTTAGAAAACCACTTTCTCAAGTTAAACCTGTTCAAATGGGAGGTTTTACTTACATTAATAAATCGAATGAACAGTTTTAATTAAAAACTCATGCTATTTTCAAAATAATGCTGAAGAGTAGATTTCTGATCAATTGTAACTGCCAGCTGGGAGATTTTCATAAGCTGTTTTTAATATTTCACTTTCATGAACACATCACTTAAATATGTGGCCTACCAATCTCAAATACAAAAGCTATTCAATCACAGTATTAAAATAATGCAATAACTTAAGTACTTTTCTGTAATTTTTATTTAGACTTTAAATAGAAGGCATGGAATTCAATAATTGAATTAACAAAGCTTTTCATCAAATTACTTTAAGTAAATTTCCAGAGCAAGCACATCAATGAGGAATTATGACATACCTGGGCCCTAAGTTAATGCTGTGCCAAGAAGATAATTTGACAAGCGCCATTGATGATGGCAAATGAGAAAAAGTAATATATATGTGTGTGTTCTATAAGACTATTACTTATATTCAGTTTTATGTGGTTAAGTTACATTGATATTTATAATTGAATGTGTTAGAGTGAGAATAAAAGAGAAGGGGGAAGCATCACTTATTTGAGATATTTTACATGTGTCTAAAAATGACATTTTGGTTTTGCAAAAGATTTTGACATTCATCATTTTAACTGATTCTCAAAATAACCCCATGATGTAAGGAAGCCATTGCTTACCCTGCTTAATAAGTAAGAAAACTGAGAAACACAGAGCTTTTAGGGTTTGGTAAAGATACACCACTGATTACAGGGCCCAAGTCTGGAGCTCCCATGATGGTGCTCTTTTTTCACTTCTCATCCACATTTAGGTGGAGGTCAAAGGACTGAATCTAACTCATAGTCATTAGCTCAATGTGAGAGAATTAGAATCTAGAAAAGAAGGAATAAGAAGAACTCTATTTTTACTTTCTAAGTCCTCAAGAAATCATAGCACACAGTTATTTTTTTGCTTTTTTCCTCACAAGAAAAAAAAAAAACTAGAATACTAATTGCAAAGTGATTTAAAAAAGCAGTCTTTATAGGCTGACAAAATCAGGTGAGCCACCAACAACCCAAATGAGTAGTAACCTTGCTCTTCTCTAGCTCACAAGTGGATTACATCCTCTCATTTTCATTTTAGCGTCAATATTATTTATGCTCTCACTTTTTTGAAGAAAGTTATTTTCAAATTCCCTGCCAGATTCAGAAAAGGGTTGGAAGATTTTCATAATGAGCTACACTAGAAATTTTAGAATTTAGCAGCCACATGAAGCCAAGATCAAATGGAGATCAGGCTATAAAACACGGTCACAGCTAGTGAAGAAATCATTCAGAGATGGGAACATCTTCAAAGACATGGTATATGTCCATCAGAGGGCCTGAGTTTACAATTACCAAGAGCAAAAATAGAATAAGATGTTCTTTTTGTGTATTAAGGTCAAGAATAAATAAAATATCCCTGAAACCAACCCTTAGGGAAGGCTAGATATAATAAATGCAGAATTTTAAATAGTGTTAACAAGAGAGTTGGACCATTGGAGAGTTGGACTAAAGAAAGCTGAGCACAAAAGCATTGATGCTTTCGAACTGTGGTGTTGGAGAAGGCTCTTGAGAGTCCCTTGAACTGCAAAGAGATCCAACCAGTCAATCCTAAAGGAAATCAGTCCTGAATATTCATTGGAAGGACCGATGCTAAAACTCCAATACTTTGGCCACCTGATATGAAGAACTGACTCCTTGGAAAAGACCCTGATGCTGGGAAAGATTGAAGGCAGGAGGAGAAGGGGACAACAGAGGATGAGATGGTTGGATGGCATCACTGACTCAATGGACCTGAGTTTGAGCAAGCTCCAGGAGTTTGTGAAGGACAGGGACGCATGGGGTCGCAAAGAGTCAAACATGACTGAGTGACTGAACTGACTGAACAAGAGTTTCAATCAGAATCAACAAAATCAAACCCCAAATGCCATTTCAGTACTTATAAGGCAAAATAGCTATACTGTGCACTATCATGCATGCTATCTGATTTCCTGTAATATGATTATGAAGTATGTGATGATATTTCCATTTTATAGATGAAGAAATTAAGATGCAATTATTGGAAGTATTTTTCCTAACTGATAAAGACACAAGCAAGATAAATTCAAGACTTTTGGAAACCACTGCATTTGTACTCCACTCCCTAATATATACCTACACTAGGACAGATTTTAACATGAGACACATCAGCACATGGTATTTTGCAAATACCACGAAGCTTCTTTTTGAGAAGCAGTGCCAAGCGCTATGGTATCTAGAACATCGAGTAGCCATCTTGCTGATTCTCTCTGAGTGACAGCTGTGGCTTCCTCTTTTCCATTTCATTCATGTTATAACCAGCCCCCTTGAATTCAATGATCTTCATTTTGATTCAAAAAGACAACTTGATAACTGTTTGTGATTCACACTCCAGGACTTTTATAATACTAACTAGCTTTTAAGTCAAGTCTTTGTATCCTCACAGTAAATATATTTGCTATTTTCATACTTTTTATGACAAAAGTACCTTTACTTGTGGCTATTTCAATTAATCATTCAATCCCAGACTTGGCAATTGGTTTGTAGGCAGCTGTGGATCAGGATTCTGTTAACAGAGAAATTAAAGAGAACATTATTAATCAAATCAGCACAATTTTCCAGCTAATCTTTACAGGTACTCATGATGGGGTAAGAATAATAATTCTTTTGGTGAAATCCAGTAAGTTGTCTTTTTACTGGCATAAAAGGTGGGGATGAAATAATCAAAGAATGCATTGACTGAAAAGTCTTAGGCTACAGCACAGTCAATATGCAGTCTGCTAAACTGTACTGCCTTTCAAGGGTTGCAAGTCTAACTAAGGAAAAAAAGTTCTGGACTTCCCAGGTGGCTCAGTGGTAAAGAATCCTCCTGCCAATGCAGGAGACATGGGTTCAATCCCTGGGTCAGGAAGATCCCCTGGAGTAGGAAATGGTAACCCACTCCAGTATTCTTGCCTGGGAAATTCCATGGACAGAGGAGTCTGGTGGGGTACAGACCATGAGGTGGCAAAGAGTTGGATAAGCCTGAGCTCCTGAGCATGCATGCAAGGAAAAGTAGTAGTCTTATTTGAAAAGCCCAGCTTCTGTGAGTCTAGAGGGCTGAATGTGTCTATAACATCAGAAGATTGTCAAATAAACTCTCTAGCCAAGGATAAGATTTGCTTTGGTATTTAGTGTAGATCAGAAATAACTATATTCAAATTTAAATGAGACATATTCCACAGTCAAATAGTGGCTATGTGAGCTTTTCCAGGAGTATTTGTTCTTTTCTACCAATTCAAATAGTCAATAGTTTGTACCATATAAAAAGGAAAACAATGAGTCTGTTATTTCTCTATTAGGTCACCTACCAGGCATTTTTTTTTTTTTTTTTAATGCCTGGTGTGCTGCAGTCCATGGGGTCACAAAGAGTCTGACACAATTGAAAGACTAAACTGAACTAAACTGAATCAGGCATTTTATATATTTCCTCACTTTAATAGCTACTATTGTCCTGTAAGGTAGGTGTTATTATCCACATTTTCTACAGAGAAAACAGGGGCTCAGAAGTTTGAAAACTTTGCAGAAACCATTTAAACGATTAGTTTATTGAGATATAATTCAAACTCAAATTTGATATCCAAGTCCATCTATAAGATTAAAAATATACATTAACATTTTACAGGCTAAAGTACTTTTGAAAAAACCAGAAAGTATCTACATTATTTTGCTAAGGTGTACTCTTTTAATAAATAGAGTACTATAAAAAAATACCAAACAATAAGCTATATCCCTACTATCTGAAAGAATTAATTCAACATTTCGAATGTAACTCTCAGCTAAGGCATAGTTTCCTCAGTAAAAAATTTCTGGCATACTTAATAAAGTAACAGATGCTATCTCAATGAACACAAAATATAAGAGCATTCTTCTTTCACTGGGCATTTGGCAACTTGTAAGGGAAATCAGGCATCTGGGTCATAGCATAGTAAATTATTTAAAAGTCAAATATGCTCACCTCACACCATATGCTGAAACAAGTTCCAGATGTAGTATTAAAAAGATTAGTGTTTTGAAAATCAAGCCAAAGAAAATGAAAATAATATTGAATACTTATCAAACCAAATGACAAAGAATCAGTTTCTATGCTTTGAATTTACAAAGAATACATCAAGGAAAATAGCAAATGTCATCATAACATTAGAAATGTTACTATTAAAAAAAAAAAAAACTTTTGGAAATTTTTCAACCAATGTGGCAGTGGCTTAAAAACTTGATCATTTTTATGTGTGTAAAACACAGAATATTCAAATTTCCAAAAGAAAAGCACTAAGAATATAACAGATACATTGGCAATAACTTAGGCAATTAACATTAAAAAGAAAAACAGTATCAAATATAGTCTTGAAAATATTTAAACTTCCTAGTGGCCAGAAAGTGTAAGTTAAGACAAATACCATTTGACATGTAAAATGGAAAAAATAAATAAGTAACTAAATGCCCAAAGTGCTGGTAAAAGTGCAATGAATTCACCATCCCATTCATTCCTGATGACAATATAAATTAGTGCAATTCTTCTAGAAAGCAATTTGGCAAACACCTTGTCAAAGTTGCACTCATTATTCATAGACCAATGAAGCTAGCCTAAGGAAATCAGCCAAAACATATGCAAAGTTAAATTTAGTAAGGCCCAGCTTTACACTAAGGACAATTAGAAGCAACTTACCATCTAACAGTAGGAGAATGTTTTAGGATATTATCACAGAGCCACTGGATGAGATATCTGGCTATTTTTAGAATATTACTACTAAAGACTGTTCAAGAATAAATGCTAGTATTTAAAATAAGCATTGCCTGAAGCAAAATTACATGGCCCTGGTTATTATTATAAGTACACTTTTTAATTGTTTATTATTATAATTATCATAGTTAATTATCATAAGTACACTTGTAAATGCTTTCTAAGAAACTGAGTGGAATATATTAAAATTCTAATAGTTTGATTCAGAGATGCATTATTTACATTTGTCCTATTTTTCACATTTTCTTTAAGATGGGTTCTCTACATTTATGTTTTTAAAAGAAGTTACATATGAAAACCGTTAGGAAAAAATCCTAAATCCTGAGATAAGGAACAGCATGATCAAAACTGACAGGGACAGACAATAAAAGTCAATAATAAATGTTTTGTTAAGTATTGCCTTTCTCCAGTGGGATTCACATACACTTGTTGATGCCAGTAGGACATGTACGGGGTGAGTGATGGAATTATCTAAGATAGAGAATATAGTTAGGTCTAACCTTTAAAACTCAGAAAACATCACTATCAGGGCAAGTGACACTAAACAGAACACTGAGATGCAAGCAGTAAAAACCAGGTAATATCAAAGACTTATGCTAAATTTATATCACCTAGTGTTTGGTAGGGTAGTGCCTGCAACTTTGCAAAATGGGTGCTTTTCAATAAATAAATTGGAAAGTCAGTTGAGCTGGGGGTGAGGTAGGGAGAGGATATATATAAGCAAGCAGGCAGACAGAATGGCAAATAGAAAAATATGTATCTCTAAAGTATCTGAGCATTTTGTACATAGCCCCACCTCTCCACATGTTTTTAATGCCTCTCGGCACTAAATGACCAGAAAAAACTCTCATGCAATAACAAACCTGCACAGAGTCCAGGTCTCGATAATTTCTCAGATTATAAAAGTCAAACTGCACTGAACCTGTTGATACGACTGGACAAACCTCATAAAGAAGAGTATGAAAATGGCTGATACTGGTTTTCTAAAATATTCATTTCCCTCTACATACAAACCAAGCGTTTCTTAGGACTCATGTGATATCCTGGAAGCCTGGGAGTCATCTGAGTCACTAGCCCAGAGACCTGTTGTCCCCACCCACTCTCTTCCTGCTCTTGCCACTTCAGGAGAATATCAGTAACCACTACTGGTTGTTGAGCCACGTGTCTCCCAGCTGGCAGGCACTCTGCATCTGTTATCTCGTTTATTTCCAACCACAACCTTGCAAGGTCCAACCCATGGCCCTCGGAGGACTATCCATCGCTCCTGAAACCCACTAGCTGCAACCCTTCCCTCTGTCTGCTCAGGAGACTCATTGGGCCAGCTCTCAGAAATGCTGTCCGGAAACAAACTCACAATTTACCATCCGCACAGTGATCTCACACGTCCTCCCACAGGTGATCCAACAAACGGTGCCAAACCAAACACAGGGAGTAGATTATCATAGCAGAGGGAAGACAAGCCAAAATGTCACGAGTCCATTTGGTGCTGTTCTTGGTTCATGACTATGGTGTTTATAAGCTGGGCGATCTCAGTTAAGTCATTGCAACTCTCCAAGCCTGGGGACCTCATATTCACTATTCACATCAGAATGACCACAATTTTAACCGTTTTTTTTTCTATTATTGTAACAGAAGCCTATATCAGACATGCTTAGGCAAAAGGTAAGATTACCAGAGTTATACAAGCTTGTTGGAAAAGTAGCTGAATTTCTCCAGAATGTTGGACCAGAAACTACCATGTGTTTAGGAACATGAACAACTCCTTTTGGAGGTAGACACTCCAAAACCCATGAGAAGGGCTAAATTAAACCCTAATTTTTCCATTTAATTGTCTCATCACTTAAGTTGATTTGCTAATAGTTTGTGACCCAAAGTAGGCATTCAATAAATGGAAGCTGTTTTATCATGATTTTTTATCATTGGGAATAATTCAATAACAACCAGTGATATATTTCCTTCACAGAACTGTGATAATATATTTGAAAATCCATTAGGTATGCCAAAGTAGGGGCTTCCCAGGTGGCTCAGTGGGTAAAGAGTCCACCTGCAAGGCAGGAGATGCAGGCAGATGTGAGCTCAATCCCCAGGCCAGGAAAATCCCCTGGAGGAGGGCATGGCAACCCACTCCAGTATTCTTGCCTGGAGAATTCCATGGACAGAGAAGCCTGGTGGGCTACGGTCTATAGAGTTGCAAAGAGTTGTACACAACTGAAGTGACTGTGCATGCGTGCAGAAGTAGGAGGCTTCCCTTGTGGTTCAAAAGAGTCTGCCTGCAATGCGAGAGACCTGGGTTCAATCCCTGGGTCAGGAAGATCCCCTGGAGAAGGGAATGGCAACCCCAATATACTTGTCTGGGATGTCCCATGGACAGAAGGAGCCTGGCAGGCTACAGTCCATGGAGTCGCAAAAGTCAGACATGACTGAGCGATTAACGCCTCTGCCATGCTAAAGTAGTCTAGAGGAATTACTAAGAGTTCAGGCTCAGGAGGTAGTTTGCTTGACTTCCAATTCCAAATCTGCTACCTATTAGCTCTGCGACTTTAAGAACATAGTTACAGATTATGATAAGATATTCATTTAATGGTGAAGATTAAATGAGATAACATGTATGAAACATTTAAACTGAGTCCTGGTGGTTACTAAATGTTCAGTAAGTACCAGTCACAGGATTATTGTTTTAAAATTTTTATGAGTTTAGGAATAAAAAAAATTCTAGGTAAACTAAAGGGATAGGAAAACTGAAAGAAATCAAAAAACAGTGTTTCAGCTACAACAAAGTGGTAGTTAATAATGGGAAAACTCAACCTAATTTTGCCCTAGTCTGTTCTTGTATTTCATTGTCCCTTTTCCTCTTTTCAATGTCATCAAGAAAAAAGAAATGAGTAAAGTGACATCATTCAAATGGTTTACCATACTTTCTAGAGCAGCATCACCCAGGAACCTGTTGGAAATGTACATTCTCAGGCATCTCCGAGACTCACTGGATCAGATCTGCGGTGTCCACAGGGCGCAGGGCAGAGACAGCGTGCTGTGTTTCAACAACCCTCCAAGAGACTCTGAGGCCTGGTTAAGTTGGAGAACACTGACTGCAAATTAGAAGCACTCGTGGAAATTAAAATATAGCTCTATATTGATGTCAGAGCCCCATCCTGAAACAACTGAATCAAACAACTGAGGATGAGACAGAACAGAAACATAGATACTTTTAAAAAGTAACAAAAACCTCCCCCTCCTTAGCCAAAAAAGAGAATCACTGCAATTTAATCTATACAATCCTGATGTAACTGGCTCCAAGGCCATCACCAAAGATGCCTCTGAAAAGCATGAAGATGGAAGTGGAATTGGCTTTTAAGCATCTCGAGTCCTCACACTACATCCCTCGGAGTAGGAAATGACAACCCACTCCAGTATCCTTGCTTGAAAAATCCCAAGGACAGAGGAGACTGGCGGACTTCAGTTCATGGACTGTCAAAGAGTCAGACACAACTGCTCACACACACAATCATATTATAGATATTACACTTTAATACTCTCAGATCTTCTCATCCCAGAGTAACACTTCCTCATGTGCATCTGATCCCGTACGGAAACCAGTTCTTAGATATTTCATTCCCACTGATAGAAATCTCAATCAACCCAGAAGAACATTTTAAGTGAAATTTTATACATCAGCCAAATGAAATTTCAGACACTGGCCAAATGGAGTGCATAAGGGGACAGAGAGTCGGGGACACTTTCCACTGTATCACTTTAATTATGCAACCTACTTTCTCAGCTACAGTGAATTATAGAGCACTGATCATTTACTATATTCAGTGGCATACCTTAATGAATACTAACTCATTTCAAGACTTTTGGCAAAGCCCAGGATGAACTGAACTAACTTCTATCGTTCTAAGAAAAACCACTCGGCAGAGCAGAGGGGCCAATTGGTACATTTAAGAGCAGTGAAAACACTATCTGCAAAGATATTTAGAGGCAGTAAAAGTGGAAGCACATTCTAATACGGCCTAGAATGATAAAGTTTCTATTATGGCATGTAACAAAAATGAAGCCATTTTAAAATAATCATGTCAAAGGACCCAGTCTCCTGCTTTCAAAACAAACATGCTGGCTTCCAGTCAACATTTGCAGGGCTTAGCAGCAGGAGGTCATTACCCTTTGACAATGTTCAGTTACACAGACATTATCTCCAATTAACAGGCTTTAACTACAAGGATTTCTCTTTTATTGAAAAGGGTGTTATTTTTTAAATAAATAACTACAGAAGTTTTTTCAGTCATCTTGTCTCAATGACTTGGATGATGACATTTACTCCTATAAACTTTCCCATACAAACACACACAAACACATGCACAAACTCATCTGAGTCAACAGACTACTTGCACTGTCCTTGAATCCTTCTTAAAGCATGGTAGACATATATTTTAAATATTCTAATCTTTACATGGACAGTTCACAAAGACATCTTTCTCATTCCAACAAAAAAGCAAAAAAAAAAAAAAGGTCCCAATGTTGATGTAGCCAAGACATTCTGAATGCTTAAAATTCCCCAAATAAAGTACAAATGAAACATTTATCAATTGTAATGTATTATGTTTTCTGTCTCATTTCAAAAGGTATCACGGAATTCTGGATGATGGCCAGAAGCCCAGAAGAGAATTTTTAACACCCTCTCAATAGACACATTTATAGCTTTTAACTACACAGAGCGCTGGTCTTATCAGTGCATAGCAGGGAGATGATTAAAATATTGCAGGCAAATTTAAACTTGGTTGTCCTTAGGTGGAAATGAAGCATCATTCTGGGCTGAAACCTCCAATTATATAAGATAGGAAGTCACAGAAAGACATCAGATTCGTACACTGTCAGTCTACACGGCAGATGGTAGTGTCTGGCAATGCCTTTTATATAACAGAAAATATTATTATAAAAATATCCACAGAAGACATTTTTAGTTCCTTGACATAATATGTGGAAAAATTAGAGATTTCTATAGAAATTAGAGGTTTAATACCCAACACTCTGAAACAGTAATTTTCTTTGAAATCTATGCATTAACTATTCTGTCATTTCTTAGAGAACTTTTTATAGTTAAAAGTCATCTGGTATTTTCATCTTTCCCTCTCTTTCATTTTTTCTCTCTCCCTCCCTCTCTACCATCTATTTAAATTCAACCTAAATCTATATGTTTTTATACAACAGTCAAATCACACTATAGTGTGTTGTGGTATGCTACAAATCACATTTTAGCCTTCCCCAATGTTATTACAAAAGAATTGCCTTTATCTCAAAGGGGATATTTCCTTATAGATGAGGTTTCTTGCAGGTAGAAGTCTCCTGAGACCTACACTTTTGAGTGGCATGTTCTTAAGCATATTGCATTATATGTCAGTACAATTAGCATATTCTTCCGGATTGTAAAAAGTAGCAATGGCTGACAGCTCAATATGTAAGGAAATGGTCTGTAAAACTATCTAAGAACTAGGAAACCCAGTCCTTGTGTGGAACAAACAGGAATAGCAGTTTTTGAAACTATTCATTTGAAAATGAATGGAGGAAGCTTAGACTCCCAGATGGATCAACCCTTCCTGTCTTATACTGGGACATCATGTTCAGTGTTGATACATTTCTGAGGAGCAAAGGGAACCCAGGGGGTAGTGAAAAGAGAGGAAATAGGAATGGAAATATCCTGGCCTGATTTTGGCAAAACACGGAAGATGTACCCATAGAGCAATGGTACAAAGATTTTCAAAGGATCTTACTATCTGCAGGAAGGTCCCTGTGTTCTTAGATATGTTACTGCAGCGGTGCATGTTCTTGAACCACCAGAGCACTGAGTCTGGTCTTCCCACCAGCATGTGCCTGGAAATGTGGTCAGTGAGCACCACTGCATAACTAGACAGAGATTCAGGATGCGCAAAACCTGCTGCTCGGTAGAAAACTACAAGGCAAAGAGCCACAGCCCAAACCATGATTTTGGAGAATTTTATGAGGCCATCCTCTTAATTATACATACTGGAAGAGTAATTCAAAGAACTGGAAGGGGTACTAGGGTGGCCTGGGAGACAGTAAGCTGTCTTCATTCCCTGGTGCAGACTTGTTATTTTGGTGTACTTGTTTAATTTCAAAAGTAAATGCAGGGAGTAAAAATGCCCAAGATCATTTCCATAGCTAGCTCTTTGTTCTAAATCTCATATTTTGTAGGTAAAAATTATTGAAATTCAAAGATTTCCAAGTAAAGCAGGAAAGGAAAGGAAAAGGAAAGTGAAGTCACTCAGTCATGTCCGACTCTTTGCAACCCCACGGACTGCAGCCCACCAGGCTCCTCTGTCCGTGGGATCCTCCAGGCAAGAGTATGGGAGTGGGTTGCCATTTCCTGCTCCAGGGGATCTTCCCAACCCAGGGATCGAACCCGGATCTCCTGCATTGCAGGTAGACGCTTTAATATCTGAGCCACCATGGAAGTAAAGCGGGAGAATGAAAAAATATTAAAGTCAATCCTTGAAATTTTGAAAACAGTGGACAAAGACATAAGCAATATCATAACTGAATATATATATGTGTGTGTGTATATATATATACACATATATTTATATACACTCTCATCCTCTTTCCGCCTGTGGCCAGAGCCTAGGGAAAGGACACAGCAGCTTGATCTCAAGGGCTCCTATTACTGTCACCATCACAGACATGCTATTCATTGCAATATTTCACACCCCTCACCCTCCACACAACCTTGCATAAACCTGAGAAATCCCTGTGAATCAGAGAAGTCACTGAAAAGGGCCCAGATAGTCTCATCATTGTCAACTTAGAGTACTCTAACGCGTAACTTGACAAATCAGTGTAACACCACCACACACCGAGTAATCCGTACACATTCTTCTGTGTGTGCTCAGTCATGCCCAGCTCTTTGCAACCCTACAGCTTGCAGCCCATCAGGCTCATCTGTCCAGGGGATATCCCAGGCAAGCACACTGCTGTGGGTTGCCATTTCCTGCTCCAGAGGATCTTCCTGACCCAGGAATCAAACCCATGTCTCCTGCACATATGCTTCTACTTCAAACCAAAATACACCCCCCAATTCCAGCTGTAACTTGATTCTAGTTCCCACTATCGCCTCAAAAACTTTTTACTCTGGCAGAAGCCCTCTCACAGTAAGGACATTGGGACTAATTCACTTCTATTTTTGTGCCACAATCCCTTGCCTTTGGAGACAAAGAAACATATTTCCATGAAATTCATAGCCTTAAATATCCCATATTTATACTGAAATCCCATTATTAGAAACACATTAGATTCTACTGGAGGTTTTCTTTTATAGTACAAAGACTTCTGGGAAGTCTATATTTTTTAAGCCCATACACTTTAGAGAGGTCACACACTTCTAGAATGACAGAAGAGAGTCAAGGACTCTGTGGCCAAGGCACAGATCATGGCATGACAAATACAAACATCTTGAATATATTGCCCAGAATGAATTCAAATGAGTGGCTCCCTGTGGCAGGCAACTTCTGAGATAAGATATTTGGGGGCATTTTTCTCTTCCCTGAAATAACTAGAGGATATCCTCAAAGACTTCCCTGGAAAATGCCAATTAATCTTTGGGATAGGTGTAACTTTGGATTGATCATTCATTGACATCAAAACATTATTTATTTCCTATTTCAACTAATATTTATAACATTTATTATACTAAATATTCTTATAAGTAATCAGCATTGTGCTAGATGCCAGGTATAACATTGTACTCACCACAGGAGAGGGAAAGTATAGATTAAAGTGGATCTGTAAGAAAAAGAAAAATAAATACATATAAAAAACTGGATCTGTAGAAATAAGAATTCATTTCAAATGTTGGTCAATTCAGATGTAATGAACTCATATTGCACTGGATTATTTCTGAAAATCATAGACCTCTTAGTTAACTAGATAACCAGCTCAACATTCTTTTCCTTTGGGTAATGACGTTTCTAAAATATGATGGACAGTTTGACTTCTTAAGTTTTATATTTATACAAAGTATACCTACCTAAAATGAAATTCAATGGGCTATTATAGTATATGACTCTTCTTCCTGACATACTCAAGAAGCACAGAAGGATCAGGTTTTTCCAAATGCTTTGGTTTAGTACAGATGTCCAGACAAGCTGCGGGAGTGTGGTCTCACAATGGACTCACCTATTGCAGTCAATCAGTTATCGCCTAAGAATCTAAGGGCTCAGAATCTAAGGGCTCCTAAGAGTCTCCTAAGGGCTCAAAGCCTTTGTCACTGGGGAACAAAGAGACACGAAACGCATTCCCAGTTTGAAATATAGACGACAAGCAGACACGCACACACAGAGTTAACAAAAAATCATATAAGTTCTTGTTAGTTGACAAATATCAAGAGAGTATAGGCTATGAAAACTAACACTGGGTGGAGCATACATTCTATTTCCTGTACTATGAACCTCTCAGTTGGAGTCCGCAGGAATTGCCACTCATTTTCATATCAAACTCATAACACTTGTCTTACATGTTAAAAGCCAGAAATTGTGGTTGGTTCATTAAGGTAAAAGCTATTTATGCATCTCCGTATAATCAGAGTGTAGCATAATATACTGAATCACAAAGCATGAGAAAATAAATTCTTTTTAAAAAAGTGCTTCATTTAAGAACATACAGAATGTAAAAGACTCTTGGTAATGCTGAGTAATACATTTTTTTTTAGTTATTTAGTTGTAAGAATATGAGAGTTAACTAAAACAAATCTTATTCAAGAATGTATATGAAAATGGAAAGCATAACTCACACCCTAATTTGCTCAGGAAATTTTGTACAAAAAAAAAATGTAAATACTACTCTCTAGTTATCCATTGAAAGTAATATTAATATAATTTTGTCCACAGAACTATTAAAGGGATAATGAAATGGAAATTTTATTTCACTAATAAATCATCTTGTAACTCAGTCTTATATAATCTAAATTAATGATTTAGAGTCAGAAGAATTGTCAGATTATTTGGTGGTTGAATAAATGTTAAGCACATATATTCTTTCAAAATATAAACATAAGCCTGTGACTGTATATTTAATTTCATTTTTATGCAGTTATCCATTTTATAGTAGCAAATTTAACAAGAATTAAACTGTCCATCACACTTTTTAGCAATGCAACCAACAAAACTAATGACAAATATATAGATAATATATAGTGTATTTATATATATAATGTATATTGTGTGATAATGTGTATATTTATATGTACATATGTGTATTTAAAGACACAGAGAGAGAGAGGTATGACTATAAATTCACTGTAATTGCAAATGGAAAAAGAAATGGGAAATTCCAAAATGCAACATTCCCTTCTACATTCAAAGAGCCAAATTCTACCATTTTTTTCTTTACAAAATTTCTAAAATCCATCTGTTCCATGATGAAATATACATTTTATCCTACTTTCAAACATACTAAATATTTCATTTCTTACATCACAGCCTCTTTGAGTGCAGGGAAATGTTAAACGTGTGTCTGGTCAGGCCAAAATTATGGAACGGGTAGAACAGGCCCTTCTCTTTCTGTCTCCTTATCTCAGCCTGCCTGTCACTTCCACCTCATCCCGATTGTCGAGGCTTTAGGCTTCGTATGGCTTCACAGAAAGTCCATGTGCATTCCTCTTCTAGGCTAACACCCCCTAGTTGCTTGTATTTATTTCTCTTTCTAGACAGTCTTCTTATTGAACCCACTAATCGGATCTCAATCTATACAGAATGCAGTTTAAATCATCATGCAAACTACAGTGAAATGTTAATAACTGCAAGAATGAAATCAACTCCTAGAGATATTTATATTTTAAATGTTGACTATTTCTCAATAAACAAAGTATTAATTTAACAGTGCCTTGGCACTGGCTATGTAGCATTGGCTCATAACAGATTGTTGTTGCTCTTAAGGAGTTTAACACTGCTTGGGTTGGTGGAGATATTGCTAATATGAAACACTTTGAGCTAAGTTGTCACCCTCTGATTCCAATACCAGCGGGATTTTCAGTTAGAAACATTCGGGGTGGGATGAAGTAGGTAGAAAAATCTTCAGGAAGGATCTGAGTCTTTAACAGAACCTTGATGAATACTCAGATCTGAAAAGGCAGAGCCTTTGATTGAGGTTATTTTCAAAGCTGGAAAGAGCATTGGGACTTCCCTGGTGGTTCAGTGGTTAAGACTTCACGTTCCAAAGCAAGGGTTACATGTTCGATCCCTGGTCAGGAAGCTAAAAGCCAGTATGCTTCACAGACAAAAAAAACCAAATCATAAAGCAGAAGCAATATTGTAACAAATTCAATAAAGACTTTAAAAATGGTACACATCAAAAAAAAATTTTTTTAAGCTGGAAAGAGCATAAAGAAAAGGACTGATATAGGAAATAAATAGCTTGTGCAAGGGGACAAGAGACACTTTGGAGGTTGGACTAATTGAATGAGACATCTGCTAGACAGCCAGATCAGCAGATTCACCTCATGGGATAAAGCAGACAAGGGCTATATCTGTGAGCAAAGTGTACCACAGTGCAGTGAAAAATAAATTCAGGTAAGTAGGGTGGAATGTTCATCTTCTATTGCTGTTTCCTTTCTGGAGGCCACAGGAATAATCCTTTTCCTTACATTTTTCAGCTTCTAGATGCTGCCCTAGCTCTTTAGCCCACTGAAGATGCCTATGATGTAATCCTTGGAACCTGGGACTAGGTTACCTACATGGCAAATGAGACTGTGAGAAGTAAGTTTGGAACCTTGATATAAAAATATTATTCCAGATTAGTCAGCCAGGTCCAATCTTATCACAAGGGTCCTTAAAATCAGTGAAATTTCCCTCTGTTTGGTTCAGTTTAGTTGCTCAGTCATGTCCAACTATTTGTGACCCCACGGACTGCAGCACGCCAGGCCTCCCTGTCCATCACTAACTCCCAGAGTTTACTCAAATTCATGTCCGTCGAGTTGGTGATGCCATCCAACCATCTCCTCCTCTGTCATCCCCTTCTCCTTCTGCCTTCAATCTTTCCCAGCATCAGGGTCTTTTCAAATGAGTCAGTTCTTCGCATCAGGTGGCCAAAGTATTGGAGTTTCAGCTTCAGCATCAGTCCTTCCAATGAATATTTAGGACTGATTTCCTTTAGGAAATTTTTCTAGTTATGTTCAAAAGGAGATATGACCATAGGAAAATGGTCAGATAAATGAAATATATTTGGCTGTGAGGTTAAAGGAAGGGAGCCAAGACCAAGGAATGTGAGCAGTTTTTCTGTCCTGGAAAGGCAAGTAAATGGACTGCCCCCTGAAAGTGAAAGTGAAGTTGCTCAGTCGCATCCAACTCTTGGACTCCATGGACTGTAGCCTACCAGGCTCCTTCTCTGTCCATGGGATTTTTCCAGGCAAGGGTACTGGAGTGGGTTGTCATTCCCATCTCTAGGGGGACTGCTCCCTAGAGCATTCCAAAAGAACAGCAGCCCAGTCCATTAACTGGACTGCAGCCCAGAGAGACACATGCCAGATTTCTGATCTGCAAAAATGGAATATAACAAATCTGTGTTGTTTTTAACCAAAGAAAAGGATAAGCATACCTAAGTACTGAAATGGAGCTTCCCTGGTAGTTCAGTGGTAAAGAATCCACCTGTGATTCAGGAGACATGGGTTCAATCCCTGGGTCGGGAAGGTCCTGGGGAGCAGGAAATGGCAACTCGCTTCAGTATCCTTGCCTGGGAAACCCCATATATGGAACAGCCTGGTTAGCTGCAGTCTGTGGGGTTTCAGTGAGTCTCAAAGGACTTAGTGACCAAACAACAACAAGCAAAGTGCTGAGATGAGTGAATATTACCTACAAATTCCCGCTCTCCTGTTCAACAATGTTTGCCACGCCCAGTGTTACGAGTTGAGTAAGAGCCCGATAAATAATTGTATATTTATTTTCATTGATTCTGAACTGTGATTATTCTGAAGTCTTTCATATATTTGTAGTGAAAATATCATAAAGGTATATATAATATTATCATAAAAGATAGAACCAACCTCGCAAAAATAAAATTTCTAGAACAAGAAAATCTTTCAGCAAATCAGTCTTCAAATAAAACATATTTAATACTGATTTGCTTTTTTTTTTATTATAAGGAAAACAAGATACAAAGAAAGTAAGCTACTTAAAATGTTAAAGTTGGTGAGTGGCAAATTCGAGATCTGAACCAGCAAAGTGCATTTGTTTTCTTAGATTTGGATAGCGTACCTCCACCCTAGGAAAATCATCCCCTGACTGTCTAATACATTTTATTCCCAAGTTATTGCAGAAAAGAAAGGATGGGAAAGTGAAGAGGAGCCAACACAGAAAGTTTTGCAAGTCTGGAGGATTTATATCAATGTAAACTCAGAAGAGAAGCCACAGAGGTCAAGTCATCTTTGCCCTTTGTTACAAATGAATGTATAAAGTCATTCCTTCTCACAACTCTACTTCCGTGCTATCTTCAGAAAGCTTACTGTGCCAGCCACAGAGCTGCCCTCAGACCTCCTTCCAAGGAGGACTTGCCACAGGAGTGCTGTCAACCAAGAACCTCTAGTCACAGCACTTTTGGCGTCCACCCTGGTCTTTACCGTAAGAGCACACTTTCCACGGGCAGCTCCACCCAGTGACAGCAGAAGGGACAAGTTCTAGGATCTGGCCGTTTTTGCCCATCACAGGCCCTTCTTCTAGACACTTCTCCTCTGGAGCTTATCACTGGGCCAGTGGACACCTTGTCTGGAAAACACTGTTCTCTTTTCTTCTTCT